GATACTCCAGTCCCTTAATCATCTTAGTAGCCCTTTGCTGGACTCGCTCTTGTACGGGGGATCCAGGCTTGAACGTTTATACCCATCAAGACTGGTGCACAGCAAGCAGCAGTAAAGCTCACCAGATAAATTGTCTCAACACTGACCTAAAGAAACCACACTTTTGGGTGAAAAGCTAACTTGTGTTCCTTACTTATTTAATCCCCTGCTTTTCTGCTGAAAGCATCGGCAAGGGACTCATTCCCACTAGTAACTGGGTTGAAGCCACACGTTCATTTCATACATGCTATTGAACAGATCTGAGATACCAATGATTTTCAGCCACAGGGAACTGGAGTTGGATCTGACTTGTGACCAGGAGGTTAAAGGCTCCAAATTCAATTACCAAACCCCAGAGCTATCAACTCCCTTTTGCTTAAGCATGACATCAGCCCTGATGGAAAGTGCAATGAACTATTGTGTTCAGCAAGGTAGACCAGCAACACAAAGGGAAGTTGCTAGGATATACACCTTTCATACAGCATGTTTCATCTCTTCTTTTGCAGACACTTTGTGTTCATCTTTCTTCACACAGGGATTGTAGAGCAGGTGAGAAGGATTTTGTGCACATAAAATGTACAGTTCCATTCTGGGCACTGCGCATGTTTTCAGTATTTAAAAATATTGCGTGATTCCCAAGTGAAAAATTGACTACTGCGTATAGCTTATCCATGGCCTATCTAGGACTGATGTGTGATATTCAAGGTTCATGCTTAGTGGCTAGTTGATGCAACTGCTTCTCAGTCTTCTCTTTGCTGGTGCTGCTGTTCTGTCAAGGCTGAGTGTGACACACACTTGGGCCCAGGCGGGCGGCGGCTGACAAATGTGAATGCTTGGGGCCGTTCTGCCTCTGAGACATCACTGATGCTTTTCTCCTTTGCTCATGCAGCCGTGCAATGGCAAAGGCCCAGCTTACAGGCACAGAAGACCTCAGTTACAAGCAAGCTCTGCGACAGCAGTAGACAAGGAGGTGTTCTACTGGCACTGAACTTTGGTAATTTGGGAAGGGCAGAGGGGGTTAAATGGGGAAAGATCAGAAACACACAGCAAGACAGGAAAAGGTAGAAGCTTAACAGGAGCAGAACCACTGAACTAATAAATTGCATCTACCTGTGTGATGGAGGTGTCAGAGGAGAACTGTGATTCCAGTCAGATTTTCTCCACAGTTAGGGCTTTCCTTGAGGATCTACTATAGATTTTTTATGGTTGTTTGCGTTCTTTGGAGGGAAATTAAAGAAAGTCTCCTAAATTCAACTAATAAATCTGACCTTGTTCTCAGGACAGAGAGGTAAGATCTTGCAAAATGGCAGGATGATTTTTTCAAACTTGAAATTTGGAAATGAAGTCAATAAAGGAATAGTGGATTACTTCCGAGTTGAAAGTGTTCAGAACACAAAAGCATTTTCCTCTTTTTGGGAGGGAGAGTTATTTTTTTCACAAGATGACCTCTCAAGAAGACTATAAAAATAACATATAGCAAATTTCTGAACTCCTCTGTGAGAGGTCTAATAAATGACCTTACATTGCTGTTGACCACAGTCTCTTTGTTGAGACATAGCTTAGTGAGAAACAACATAAATATGAATGATCATAATTTAACTACTGCTGTAAGTAGTACTGCATTCAGTTTTGTTTTATGAGATAATTTTAGTCTCTGTGGGCATAGGAACAATTTATGTGTGTTTATAGTATAACTTACCGTTATTTTGAATGAGTACAGGTAAAGGTCTGTTCCTCCATGAGGAAAAATCATTTGTCCAGTTTGTTATCCATAAAAGTCTCACAGTAACCATTACTGGTATATATGTTGGGTGATTTTCCCCTGAACAACTGTAGAAGCTGTAGGCTCAGAGTGTCTCATATCCAAGCTTTCACAGAAAAATGTCAAAGCTCATTTTCTGGATAAGCTCTGCTCTATTGGAAGAGTTTATGTCTACTGCTAACGGGCAGCCTCGTTTGGCAGATAAATACTATGAATGGCTAAATATCATTTTGTTTCTTTCATTCCTGCACAACCAAGAACTAAATGAAATGAAGGCAAATGGTATTTCAAAGAGCAGAAGCTGTGGGTGTGATATCAGATGAACGTCTTTCAAGCACATACCTCACATAGCGAAGCTCAAGTCTCAAATATTTTACTGTGTTCAAGATTTCAGAGTCAATGCTATTTTTCATACATGTTTCTTCGTGTTGTATGCCCTGTGATGGCAAATACCAAGAAGGACATGTTCCTAGAGCTTGGACATCTGCTCTCATTGCAATAAAATTGCAACCACAATTCTGCATACTGCTTGTCAGAATGGAGTGCTGCCTAATAGGAAAAGCTGTTATGAGCCAGTTAAAGTAAATACATCTCAGCTGAACTGTCACACTTCAGGAATGTCAGTGATGGCTGTAAAGCTGCTTCAGATACCTTGTTGTAAAGCCAACCAGATGTAATAGTTATTTTGCTTCAGCTCAGCTCCCGTGTTGATCTTCCTGCTTTATTCAATTTAAAGGGAATATTGCACACAGGATAACCTATTCCTACTCAATTCATTCTATTTAAAAAATGGAAAGTTGTCTTTTGAAAAGGCTCTTTTTTCAGACATATCTAGATGAAGACAAAGCTTGATTGTCTGTTAATTATTTCCTAGCCAAAACTGGGACTAGATATCCAGAAGAAAATGGAATAAATTTTGTATATGTTTGCGCATGTATATGTTTCCCAGTGGGATGAAATTCAAACAAAACTGTAAAGAAAAATAAAGAAATATATTTGTTTTAATGAGCTAAATGAGGGTAGAGGCTTGAATGTGATGTGAACATGTCTGGGCTTGGTTTCTTGTTTAGGGGTTTTAATGTTGATAAAGCCTAGAGACTCCTGAGGATTATAAAAGATTAAATTTTTGTGATGAAGGATATTATGGCATTTCTGAAGTATGAAATGTTCTCAACCATTGCTGCAAGCTCAGGCTAGCTTAACAGCCCCTCCTCGGCATGACTGGCTATTTCATTATGCAATAGAGAAGTGGTGGAATTTGCTTAAGATTTACAAAGAAGGCTTCATATGCAAAGGGCAATTTACTAGGATTTAAATGTCTCTAAAGGAAAGATTTAAATCTGTATAGGAAAATATAGGCACACTTTCTCTGTTACCATTTTTGACTCGTCATGTATACACTGTAAATCTCAAGAGGAATATGTGCAGGACTTTGTCCTAGGGAAGTGTACACAGTAGGTTAGTATTTTACTTTTTGTCCACAAGGAAAAGTAAAAAGTACACTACTGCCTTCAAAAGTAATTGTGTTGAGTTCCTGACTTGAATGTCCTTGCAAATACTGGTGCAAACAGTAAAAATAGAAAATAATATTTATTTTGTTAGTTGCCCTCTTCTTTAAAGTGTAATCTTTTTTAAGTGTAGTTAAAAAAATAATAAAAATGGTGCAGATGTGGAAATTTTCCTCATGCAGTGCTAGCTCCTGTAGCCATCTCCATTTTACTTTGCACACAGTAGGGCAGTCTTAGTAGGCAAAGCAGGCTTTAATGAGCAAACAAGCTGTTCCTGAGATGCATTAGATCTTATGACTTGTACTGGGACTGTTTACACCTCTACCAATGCATGTGGTTTGACTAACCAATAGTGAATGTGACAAGCTACAAATATAGGGAGCAGAACTGTTGTGGTCAATAGCAGAACCTCTAGGTTGCTCTGACTTGCACCAAAAGGATAGAAGATATGCAACTAGCCAGGGATCCAGGGAGTACAACTTTATCTTAAATAGAGCCTTGTGCTCTTTATTGTGTGTTATCCCTTCCATCTTGCTGCTGGAGGAACCTGTTTCATGTTGTCAGCAACTCATGTACTTCCCCATTTTGACACATGAAGAGAAATAAACATTTGACTATCCTATTTCATACTTCTCCTTGGATTGCAGAGTCAAAACGTTCTCCTGCATGTGGGTTTTCTCACAGGAGGGACCTCCAGGCTGAAACACATATACAACCCAGTCGGTATCTGAGTGGCAGATCCTGATATGCCCTGGTAGGTAAAACTTTCCAGCAGGATAGATTTCAGTTCCCCCCTGCCCCTAAGTCAGATGCCAAAGCATCTAACTGGTGCTCTGGCACTTGCAAAGTTCAGCGTTGGGCTGCTGAGACCACATGGCTGAGCCCTGCTGTTAGTTAAGCTCTATGCTAGCAAGTGTGAGTTAGGGGGTCACTGTTGCTCTTTGTGATAAAGTCATAATAATGAACAATTAACAACCCTTCTTTCATCCTCAGGGCTTTAAGCATGTAACAGGCTTATATAATGAAATCACAGTACCTCCCCCTCTGCCTGGTGCGAAATATCACTCTTGGTTAGCAATCACAAGCAGAGGTATGTGAGAGTTTAAGATAGGCAAGGTTGCTCTGCTTGATTGAAGGCACATGGAGGAAGAGCTGAGGTAGAAATGGCCTAAATTATCTGCAGATGGTCAGTGATGCCAGATCCCTGGGAGGGCAGGTGTCACCTGCAAGCTTGCTGCCCTTGTGTTGTGCACCATATAGTTTTTAAGAGATGTCAAATCCCTGTGTTTGTTTTTATGAAAGAAAGGTAGGGGGCTTGTGAGGCTAAGATTCAGAGGCAAGATGTGAAAGGGATTTTTTTTTTTGTTAATATAAGTGAACTATTTTAGGGAAAAAATATATTTTTACTATGAAATAAAAACAGGAAGATGGAAAAGGCTATAGTATTAATGTAGAAGGTTTGCATAAAAAGTGAATCTCTACCTCTCTTGCTCTTCTCTCTCTTTTGTACGTCTGGCTGGTGAAGAAGGTTTATTTTACTCTGTTTGAACTACAAGTCAAAAAGGTGTTAATTAAAACTAGTATTTTGGTGCTTTTGCACAGGCTACTTAATCAATTAGCTGTATTTGCAAAGCACTTTCAAGCACTAATTACTGCTGAATATTAAGTGAGGGGTTTTCATTGCTTTTCAGAGAAAGAGGATGTCAAGAGGATGGGAGCCTTGTGGTGAACCTCAGGTGGCTTTTGATCCTCTCTCATCCTGATTAAACAGGAGCAACCAGGTAAGAGTCTTGACATGGCAGCAGGTTTCATCTAAAGCAAGGCAGCTCCATAGATAATTGCTGTGGGGCTTTGAGTGTGGAGGTGTGCTCTTTTGGTCCGTGAGGACTTGGATTTCCAATGCATTAGATGAGACACTCTGTTCATGTGATTCAGATCCTTAAGTGTGTGGTCAGCCCTATGTCTGAATCCTCTGCTGGATCAGTGCTCCCTGTGAGGGAGTTGGAGGAGTCTGGGTCAGTTGCTGGTGTCGTTCCTAGGTGGCAAATGTGGGATTGCCAAGGGGCTTGGAGTAAGGACGCTGCTTCCTGTTCCTCCCACTTGACACTGCCCTTCACCACCTTCAGTGGTGATGGACCACAAGAAGTAGCTTTGACAGGCTGCAGTTCTGCTCTGTTTTCCCTTCTAGCAAAAGACAACAGGATTTCATGGTGCATTAAATGCAAACTGGTAGACAGGAAGTATAAATATCAACACTGCATGAGGGCTGACAATTAAAGATTTCTGGGCAACCAAGCGATTGAACCATTAACAGAAGTGTTAAAAGTAGGGGTATAACAAGAGTATTAGGGATAATAACGGAGAAATTGTGTGGCAATTTGTGGCTAAGAGAGGAAGGAAAAACAGGAGACGTTTCGAGTCTTGGCTGAATATTTATTAGACTCACCTGCACTAAGCTCATAGTATCCTTTTTTTAAAGGAAGGAAGTAGAAAACAACTAGGGATGTACATGATGGGTGTCTTTGTAATATAAAGCAAGCAGCTACAGAGAGAAACACTTCAGATCTCAAGAGAGAAGGATGCTGTTCTTGTCAGGAGTTCCAAATTGTGAAGAACACACAAATAATTCACCAAAGGGGACATGTTTTTAAATTCTTCTCTGAATAGAAATTAAATCACTAAACTAAGGCCTAAAGGTCCAGTCCTATCTTTGGTAGATTCAACAGCAGAGAACTAAATTGTACTTACAGTCCTAAATAGTTGCATTGACTTCAGTGAAACTTTCTGGGAGATTTGTCTCTAACTTTGCTATAAAGAATTGTAAGACTGGACTCCAAGCAGTGCCAGAAGGGCAGAGTGAAGAGCTTGTAACTATCGTTGGTCTTCTGTTGTTCTGGTGTCATCTACAATGTCATGTAGCAAAAGGATAAGTGTTGAAGAAATCTTAGAAAATATAATTTAAAAGAATGTATTAAAAAAAATCTCCCTGTGTCTTCAGTGCTATCTATGTAATAAAAAAGGAATATAAAATCGAGGATAGTGTGTGCACTCCTCTGCAAAAATAGAGATTACTTACATGTATAAATAAGTCTATGTTTACAGCTCAGGTTTTTAACCTTAACATGCAATTTCTTTGCTTTTGTGAGAGTTAGTTGGAAGATTGACATCTCTTAGATGCAGCTACTGTGCTTGTTAGTGGATTACCTCTTTCAGAACGTAAAAGCATAAAAGTACATGAAAAGAATTGTTTATCTTACAGTGGAAGCTAAGGTCATATGTTTACATGTTGACACAGTAAGGTTATTGAAGAAAGATTCTAACTAATCATGTGAAAATTCTTACAGCCAAGTAGTGAATGAGGTGCTGTGATCTATTACATCCCTTTGCACTATTTCAGCAGAACAGAGGAGCAAGTAACTCTACAGACCTTCCTGGGGATATCTTTTGAATGCTTGTTTTTCCCTGTCCATCAGACTTTCTAGTCTTCAATGTAGTAAGTACCTATGGTTATCCTCAGATATTAAACAGGCCTACTAAGGTTATAGACAGTAGTAATTTTGGGTAACAGTCTCCTTTCTCTGAGCTTACCTGGTGGTCTCATTTTAGTAAAGCATATCCAGATCTGAAAAACCAGTCCTTTTACTTCTGGAAACTTTGCGCGTGTGAGTACTTATACTGTCTTGTGTGTGGAAGTGCTACTCAGTCCAATTCGGGAAAGACTAGTTCTTTTAACACAGCGTGGTGGGGCTGAACTCAGTTTCTGTTAGTGGATGCTCTGCCTGCTAGAAGCGTACTCAGCTTGAAATGAAAACTTGAAAAGTTGGTGTTTCTGAGATAGTCTGCCCGGCTAAGCATACAACCACTACGTGTTTTATCTAACTATCCTCTTAAAGAACCAAAGATTCCCATTTTCATGAAATCCTTGCATCAGTTGGTTGTTGCATCATATGCAATGTTATATATCAATTTAGACACATCACAAAATGGAAGCTGATCACCTGATCTCCTTTTGAATTAATTTATTTTGTGATGGTATCATGCAATATCTGGGCTGAGTAGAATGTCAAAATCTTCATTCAGTGTCTAGGATTTACCTCACATATAAATGATAAATGGCAAATCATGGTAATAATCATGGTCACTTCTGACAGATTTTTTTTTTTTGGCAGTAATTTTTCTTTTCATTTTGAAATTATCAAGATGAAGCTATTACCTTATAGCAGAAAATGGATTGTCTCCTGAATCCTGTTTTCTAGTGTTCAAACAGTAAAAACATCTTAAAACTCTGAATTCTTTTAATGGAAGAAAGGACACATTGACTTAAACATTATGTTTCTACTGCACACCAGTGTAGTAGATGTCTCAAATGAGCTCCATCCAGAGCAAAGATATCTGTCAAGTTTTGCAAATTATTTAATGCTTTTGACCCTCCTCAGGGATGTTCTGTCATGTCTAACATTTGAATTCTTCCACATTTGTTTGAACAAGTGTCCCTCCTTGGAATTTATTTATTTATTTATTTTAATATGGCAATAGTGATGAGAAGTATCTTCTAGAAACATCAGGGGAAAATGTGGTAGCAACAGTATCTGAAACTGCTCTTTAAAACATTGACCTTAAAAGCAGCAGCAGCTTGACTAACTGGTAACTACAGAGTGGACGAGGTAAAAAAATTAAAAACTTGGTGTATTCAGTGTAGCATTCTTTGAAGTCCAGGTGGTTAGCCTTTGCCTGTCACTGTTCAAGTTCAAATGCAATAAAAACATAAGGAAATCCAATGGCAAAAGCTTCATCCTGAGATCAGATGAATAAAGAGAAGATGATAGTCGGTAACAACTACCCTATATCTTAGGATAAAGCATTTTGTTCATCAAAGGCAGGAAAAAACTCCAAACTTTGCTTCTGTATGTGATGTGTGTTTCCAAAAGGCACAGTATTCACTGTCCTTAGTATTGCAATCAAACTTAGATTTGATTTGCTCAGAGAAAACCGTACTTCACTGGTCACTGTTAACAGCCAGTGCTTAGTGTTAGATGCTACATAATAACAAGGGCTATCCCCTGTCACAAAGAGCTGGAAAGGATGTGCTAACTCTAGGTTAACCCATAGTAGTTTTACTAAAAAAAGTTTATTTTCCTGCTGTAATCCAGTATTTGTGAAAAGAGTAGATAGTTGATTACTTCTATCTCCAAATACAAAGTTTTTGGTTACTATTTAGAATTGCAATACCCTACTTTCTTTAGTTTCTTCTTTCACAAAGTATCCTGCTAAGATTTCCTGCGTATTTTCACCATGAAGGTTCAGATTCTAGTTACCTCTTCAAAGAGAGCCAGAGTTCTACCTCAGAAGGAGATGGTGTCATTGTTTGCATCATTGACTCACTGGAAAAGATTATGGTTTCCAATAGCCTTGTCTTCAATAACAGCCAGATTCTCAGTTGCAGGTAGGGGCAGTGGCACTTTCCTGCCATTCAGACTCAGACGTTTTCACTTTATTTGCTTATAATTGTTTCTCCTGAGGTTAGATGAAAAATTGTAAACTTCCAAATTACTGTTATTTTTGTTCCTAACTAGCAGCTTTAATAGCAGAGCCTCATTTGCATCATCACATGATTACTGGCAATCTGCATCTTGGCTTGGCCTCTGCACAGACCTCATCAACAGGCGAACGGAGCCAGAAGTTAATTGACATCCCACCAGGTGGGGAGTAGAACTTAGGTCTCCTTTCTTGCCATCTAGTTCCTAATTTATGAATCCATATACATGGAGATCCTATTCTAATTTAGGTAAGAAAGAAATATTTGCCATCTACAATGTAGATTTTTCCTATCTCTATTTTCAAAAAGTATTTACTAACTTTTTGATATTTAGTAATATTTAAGTATATGCAATAATGTTTTATATGTTTGATTAAACAGCATACTATAATAAAAATAGGGAAACTAGCTGAGAATTATTTGCTCTTTCTTATTCCTTAATAATAATCTTAGTCCTGTTTGGTGTTTGCTTCTCTCCTGAAGTACATGGTTACATAAAGTTTAAGGCAGGGGAAGCAGCTGGAAATACTGCGGTACAAAAGTACTATCACATGCAGCTGGAAGTACTGCGGATATGCAGGAAGTCATATCTTTGAGATGAAGTTCAGACCAAAAACCCATGATGTTTTTCATCAGTTGATTATTTATCTAAAGGCATGGAAAATGCATCTCTGTTGTTTATTGAGGCCAACGGCTTATCGTGAAAGTAATGTTAATTAGGTCAAGCCAGTATTTTCTTGGAACATCTAGAATTCAGATTTCTAATAAACTAACACTTCAGAGGCCTGGAAAACTGTGGTTTGTCATCTATTTATTTGAACTATAATTTCCATATACTTGGATTGTGAAGTAGTGTAACATCAGTCACTAGATGAATGCTTGGAGTTGAAAGAGCAAGGGTCTGAGGTTTAGGTGTTACTTTGAGCCAGTGACCATCAAATGTAAATTGTTTTATGTTTGCTACCTCTTGACATTTTTCAGATCCTTCCCTTCCCTAGCCCTTTCTGTTGTTTACTGTGCACTTTAATGTAACCCGTTAACCCTGTTCTCTCCACTGCAAAAATTTTATAGCTAGGAGACTGGCATAATCACTTTCAGAAGCAGTTTAAATAAAACTCCTAAAGTGCAACATTTATTATATGCTTCATATAAAACCCTGATACTTTCTGGTTTCTTAATGTAGGCACAATTTGAAATTTAGTAGGAAATTGAACTATTGGGAAATTAGTTTTAAAGATGGCAGTC